TAGGGGCCCGAGTTTCACCGGAACTTAAAGATGCCGAAACAGCAGGACGGATTGTTGACGGATTGTTTCCGACGCACTTGATTAGGACAAACGTGATGGATGATGTGGATGCACATATGACCCCCGCCTTTGCCGCTGAGGAGCTCATCAGAGCAACGAATGTGATGAAGACGGATAAGGCACCGGGACCGGACGGAGTACCATCCGAGGTCCTCCGGCTTGTGGCTTGTCTACGGCCGGAGATACTCCTCGACCTGTACAACACGTGCTTGACGACAGGAACGTTCAGCGACCGATGGAAGGTGGCAAAGCTCGTTCTTATCCCAAAAGGTAGGAGCGATCCTGGCACGCGTTTGGCTTACCGACCGTAGAGTTTACTTGACACGACTGGTAGACTCTTTAAACAACTACTGACACCGAGACTGATGGATGCGGTACAGACCGGAGGGGGTTTATCAAATTTGCAGTTCGGTTTTAGCAGGGGTCGATCGATGATTGGAGCGATCCAAAAGGTGGTCGACTCTTTCCTGGAACAAGACAGACACTGCCACGTAGCAAGACCTATAGTGTTGCTGGCGACGCTCGACATTAGGAATGCTTTCAATTCGGCCAGGTAGAAGGATATCTTGAAGGCGCTGAAAAGCAACTTCGGGATCCAGCCATACCTGTTTCGGATTGTGGAGGATTACTTAAAAAACAGACGGATAACGTACAAGACGATCGAAGGACAAGTAACGAGACAGGTCACCGCTGGGGTGGCACAGGGGTCGATACTGGGACCTGACTTCTGGAATGGTTTATACGATAGCCTGCTTAGGCTTGGGATGCCGCTCGGAGTGACCCTTGTCGCCTACGCTGATGACGTGGCGGTGGTGATTACGAAGAGGTCCCCCGAGCTGGCGCAGCTTGCGTTGAACCAGACCATGAGACGAGTCGGACGATAGATGACAGACCACGGACTACAACTCGCAACGGAAAAAACGGAACTGATGTTTCTCACACACATACAGACGATACTGCACATAAGGGTGAGGACATGCGAGATGGAGACCAAGAGGGAAGTCAAGTACCTTGGGGTAACCCTCGATACGAAGATGAACTTCTAGCCTCATATACAGAAAACAACTCGGAAAGCGGCAGAGAGGATAGTATCCTTGAGTCGCCTGATGGCAAATACAACGGAACCGAGATCGGAAAAATGACGACTGTTAATGGCAACAATTCACTCGATCCTTCTATACGGTGCGGAAATATGGGCAGACTCCCTGAAGACAAAGAAATACTGTAAGTCAATGATGATGGTACAGAGACAGGGCGCACTGCGAATCGCTTGCTCCTATCGAACAGTTTCTGCGCAGGTTGTTTTAGTGGTGGCTAGCGTAATACCCGTGGATCTTCTGGCCTTTGAAAGCAAAAGCATCTACGGGAGCAGCGTGGACATAGGACGAAAGAACGCGACAATCGATGAGCGCGACAGGACAATTGACATTTGGCAAGGCCGATGGACAGAGGAATGAGGTGGTAGCTGGACAAGACGATTGATACGGGACTTGAGACTGTGGCTCGGAAGGAAATTTAGTGATGTAAATTTCTACGTCACCCAGCTCTTGACGGGTCACGGGTACTTCCAACGGTACCTCTACAATATGAGCAGACTACGAACATCCGATTGTAAGTACTGTGGACACGAACGAGACGACGCGGAACACACGATTTTCGCGTGTGACCGCTGGACAAGATTCAGACAGGAACTGGAAGAAACGGTCGGCAGCATCACCCCCGATAAGATCGTGGCTCTCATGCTGCATGAACCCGAATGGTGGTGCTTAGTCGCTACCTATACGGAAACTATACTGAGACGTAAGAACGCGGAGCATACGGAGGAACGACACGAATGAACGAACACAGACAGAACCTCCAGTCAGAAGTAATATCAACATAGTCCCTGGCTAGGGGAAGGACACCAAGGAGATGGCGGTTTAGTAAGTAGGCCTATTTTTTTATCGGGGAGTCCCACATAACCCCTCAGTCAGAAAGACTAAGGGGATTCCGCAACTCCTGGTAAAAAAAAAAATAGCAATGATAATGAAAAATAATAATGATAATAAGAATAATATTTATTATTGAATTTAGATTTTTTGATAAATTCATTAAATCGTATCAAATAGTATTATTATGGAATTCCAGACTGTAAATTTTTTACTATAGATAGAATAATCATTACTTCGAGAATTCATCTAAAAAACTTTTGGCTTACGAAATAATTGTAACAATGAAAAACTCCTAAGATTGACAACATTATAATTTATTACAAAACGCAAAAGAGGTTGATAAACTAATTTTATTAACCTATGTTTTTTCATTTGCAACAAAGTGTGGACTTTTTGAATTTATAAAATTATATAATTATGAAATTTATGAAATACTTTATAATTTATGAAATGTCTTTTGAAATTATACTAATTTATAAAGGCAGAAAAATAAATAATCTTTGATTGAAACATAAAACGAGACGTTATTTGTTACATACAGAATGATTGAATAAAATATCGGTAATATGTTTATACTCGTATCTACGATAAAGTATAGACCTTCGGTCTGTCTGGAGGTTAGGGGTTTGGAGTCGTTTGGTTAAAAAGCACAGGCATCTAGCCTATTTGTTGTTTAGTGGTTTAGGGTTTAAGGTTCTTTAGTTCACATGTACAGGCTACAAAGATCACACATTTGTAAAGAAGTTTTTATGAAGGTGAAATTTTAGTTCGACAGTTTCGTCCACCACATTGGTTCCGTCATTTTAAATTTTCGAAATCTGATATCAGATTTATAAAGAGCGATCTCGAAAACGCCTATATACAAACCTTCTACAAAGTATTACGGATTGAAGTATACTTATAGTTATTTTGTGTTAGGGGTGGTTTACCTCTCTTAGGGTAATATTTATTAAAACACCCAAAGACGTCAACTAAATTTTGTTATTATGGATGTTTAAATATTTTTTCCCATTTTTTTTTAGACGGTTTAAACTCTTTTATTATAAAATTATGCCAAAAATATATATAAGTTTTCAACTCTTAAAAAATAGGGGAAGCTACGCTTACCCTTCAAATCACCATGAAATACTTGCTCCTTTTGTAAGAAATAACCTGCAATTTGTTTCACTGAAAAATATTAATTTTAAGCCGAGATATTAAAAAAAACGCTTTTTGGGGGTTAACTTTAGGGGAGGTTTTTACCCCTTAAAAGTGAAAATTAGCCGATAAAAAAAATACGTGTCTCTTATTTTTTATGTTCTACAATATGTATCAAAATCATCAAAATCGGTGAGTTCGGGTTGGGTACCTTTCCTTGTAAGTATTGGACTTTACAACATATATTTTTTATGCGCACTTGGAAAGAAAATAGTATGTCAATCACGGATAGAAAAATGACACTCTCTAGCACATACGATGTTTTCTAAACTAGTATAGTTTCTAAAATATTTCTAAGTTGTAAAATAGTATATTGTAACATACGAGGTGTGTTCAAAAAGTAAGGTGACTTTTCAAATTTTACGGGCAACGTACTTTCAATTATCGATTTTTTTATTTTGATATGTTGGTACACTCTTCCCGAACATCTGTACCAAGTTTCAAGTGTATAGCATTTTTTGTTTGGTTGTGAGAGGCGTGTTTTGCGTGCTCGGCGATTTCTTGCTATCGAAAAATATGGATCATAGGATTTGCTTCAAATTTTGTGTAAAAAATAAAATAAAGTACTTCGAAACACTTCAAATGTTGACTGTGGCATACGGTGAAACTGTTCTGAGAAAAAAAATGTTTACAAGTGGTACAAACTCTTCTAAGATGGCCGGGAAGATACCAATGACGAGCCTCGCTCTGGACGCCCAAGCACGTCAACAACTGATGAAAACGTTCAAGCAGCGAAGAAAATTGTTCTGGAAAATCGTCGAATCGCTATCAGAGAAGTTGCTGAGGATGTTGGTATATCGCTTGGCTCGTGCCATGAAATTTTTTCTAACGTTTTGGGCATGAGACGTGTGTCAGCGAAGTTTGTTCCGAAATTGCTAAATTTTGACCACAAGAACCGTCGCATGAGCATCGCTCAAGAACTGTTGAATGACGTCAACGACGACCCAGATTTACTCAAAAGAGTCATAACTGGTGACGAATCATGGGTATATGGTTATGATATCGAAACCAAAGTCCAATCGTCCCAATGGAAGAGCCCAGATGAGCCAAGACCGAAAAAGCACGCCAAGTTCGATCAAATGTTAAAGTTTTGCTCACTGTTTTCTTCGATTACCATGGCGTGGTGCATCAGGAGTTCTTACCATATGGACGTATGGTCAATAAACAGTATTATCTTGAAGTTATGCGCCGTTTGCGAGAAGCAATAAGAAGAAAATGCCCAGAATTGTGGAAATTCATGGCTTTTGCATCACGATAATGCCCCTGCTCACTCATCTTTGCTTGTGAGAGATTTTTTGGCCAAAAACAACACTACAATCATGCCTCAGCCACCATATTCACCGGATTTGATCCCATGTGACTTTTTCTTGTTCCTAAAACTAAAGAGACCTATGAAAGGACGGAGATTTGCAACGATTGAAGAGATAAAGACTGCATCGCTGGAAGAGCTCAAGGCTATACCGAAAAGTGCTTATGAGAAATGCTTTGAGGATTGGAAAAACCGTTGGCATAAGTGTATTGTATCTGAGGGGGATTACTTTGAAGGGGACAACATAAATATTGATAAATAAATAAATATTTTTTCTTAAAATTACAAAGTCACCTTACTTTTTGAACACACCTCGTATATGACTATACTTATAAAATGGTATAAATAATGTGTATTGTTTGAGTTTTACTTAATAATTCAGCAGAATTAAGAAATTTTTATCGATCAAATTAGTTTGGAGATAAAAAGAAAGAGTAAGAGCTTAGTAAAAGAAAAAGTCATTATTCATCAGCATAAAATTATATGAAACTTTAGATACGAACCACTAAGATGTCTACCTTGACCGCCAGGATACATGCAACGGAATATTCTACCTAACTCTTCAGCCTGAATTCTACCTGCAGGAGTAAGTTCACCACCCCACTTCAATATTAAAACTAAAGATGGATCGCCAGAATGATCTGAAATTATAATAGTAATTTAAAAATTTTCTATGATCTACATCACATTGCTATCAAATAAAATAACTTCAATATACTGTTACTATTGCCATCATCAGAAGAGCTTCCTCGTGGTCTTCCACGAGGTTGATACTTCATTTGTACTTTACGATTTATTCCTGAAAAATGACCGTACCTAAAAAGCAGAACGTAAATTAAAAAAGGGCTTTATCACTCCTTATTGATACAAAGTAGTTTTTACATTTCCAAAACACTTTTCAATTGCTCAAGTTTTCCTTGCTTTTCTTCCAATTCCGGTCCAGCAGCACGGTGCTGAATTTCCGTTAAAAGACTTCGTGCCGTATCCAAGATCTCTTGTAATTGCTTGGGTCTTTTGAGTTTTACGTGACCATGCTTATAGCCATCATACTTTGCAAATATTTCGAAAAATCTGTACGAGAAAATATAGATCATACAGCTATATGTTTCATCAGTAGTGATATAAAACTTGAAAATTATAAAACTAACTTTGGATGGCGGACTTCTACTTTCATTTTCTGCTTAGGCGTGCGATCCCCATGTCTTATGACAGCAACAACGCATCGTAATTCCATCCTTCGAAGAAAATAAAATAAAACTTGGATTTGCATTTATTGATAAATTATGTTCATCTATTAAATAAAAGTAATTGCATAACATATGAATAGTGATATTAAAATTGAATAAGATTTTTTTTAGGTAGTCAAATTAATTTTTTTTCTCAGGATCCATCTATACCAAACGTTATTTGTGAATATGACGACATTTTAGTGTCATTTTACACCATCCTCAAGGCTGAGGAGGTTATTGAGTTTGTTAATAGGTTTGTGAATAACAGAGAAATTACGGTGTGACAAAATTAATTTCAATTTATGGCTTCAATATTTAATGTATGGTAGTATAATATTTTTTTTACATTTTCAACATCATTGTTAGGGGGATTATTAGTACCGTAATCGTACTGATTTTGTAGCATATGAATATGTATAACGATAACACACGTATTAGCTCTATTTTTCATTATGTCTATCAAATTATTAACCATGTAGGAATAAAAATTTTCATACAATTAACGAAAGTAATTTTTATACTTGAAAATAAAACTTGACATTGCGTTTTTGATTAAATGTAGCATAATGGAAAATTGGCGGTGCGAGCCGATTATATGATTTACTGCTTTCAACCATCGTTTCATGTTAGAAGGCCATGTGTATGTGAGTCGATACACATTCATACTTAGTTTTATTTATCAAGAGAGTACTTCGTTTCTTTTGTTTCTCATGGTTATGACTTGCGGGTTTTAGTGTGAAATGCATCTCGGCCGCGTTGAATCATTAATAGTATACATACGCAAACAAAAATAATAATTTAAGTAACTTCTTTATAATAAGAATTTTTACATTTAAAACGTTTGACATATTTTCTAAACGCAATAGAACTGAATATTTGTTCACTAATGTTGAAAAATTGACGAACAAAACAACGACGAAATTAATCATTAATTTTTTAAAAAGTCGTTAAAATCTAAAATATGTCAAAAAATCTCTCGTTGTCACTATTTTCAAATATTGTATGGGTCAGTGAGGCGCTCTCGCTCATGGCAATCGAGGAGGCAGGAGGGAAAAGGTCATAGAGTAACCAACGCAATAACTACTACATCGAATCAATTTTACTTTATTATTAATAACAAACACTAAACGCATAATATGCGCGAACACTACATGATACAAACTATTAACTATCTTATTTATTACCAAAACTGGAAGAAACTACTTAACTTAATTACAAATGAATATTAAGCGCGATCGTTCTCACCAAACTACATATGTATATATCAGCTTATTACAACGAAGTTAACAATAACGCAGGAAATATACCTGAGAATTGCCCGGCCATTGAATGCCTTGACAATTCGCCTGTCACGACTAACACTAAACAAATGAATTCAACTAGGCACGAACCACAAGATAGCTGGCACGTTATGCCTGGCTACCTTACTCAAACGCGCATATGTATTCGCATTACTGGTGTGAGAAAAAAAGAGTATAGTTAAAGAGAGAGATTTAAGGAACAAAGAAACTCGACCTTACTAAATGCTGAGCCGCTAGGCACCTGGTGGAAAGCTGCTGTTGGTGAAGCTGCTGTCCTAGGAGAGCTGCTGCTGTTGGCGAGGCTGCTATCCTGGGCCTTTGGCAAAGAGGTCGCAGAGAACCGCCACGGGCAGAGTTGGCTGTTGCTGCAGGCGAAGTTGACTGTGGTATAAACGGCGACTTCGGCTCCTTACACTCTCTCTCTCTCGCTAACTGCCCAAACTCAACTGTCTCACGCACGCATTTTTCTCAGCGCTGGCCTTCTTGCGGCCGCTCGTTTGCATCCCTACTTGACCTGATTCTTAGACGGCACGCGATGTGCCGCTTATCGGTCACGCGTCGCACGCCTGTCTAAACCTGCATAGGCCAATTCTCATCCTCTCTCTCTCTCTCTCTCTCTTTTCTCTCCACGCTTCTCAACTTCAAACGTGCTCGGCTCCGCTGGTCAGTCCTTGGCGCTGAAAAACAAAAGCCAACTGTTAGGCGCATTGCTAAATGTGCCCAACGTTGGCCACCACGCCTTGCCGAAAGAGGTGAGGAGAGAGAAACATAGACTAGGAGAAAGCGTAAGGCTTGCTCTTGTCACAAATGGCAAAACAGATACCCTAAGAAATGTAATATTTTTTACTTTCTCTAGTACCGAAGTATATTTGACGTCATAACTTGTGATAATACTAACAAAAATATTACAATTGACAGTAATAATTGTGCTATTAATTCTACCGTTGATTTTCGTCGGAAATGACAACAGTGTTCGGTTCTAATGTGTGTTATGTTATTTCGTACTAACAATTTTTTGCCAAAATGTAACATTCGATTAACGTTTACGGTAAAATCAATTTAAAATTGTATTTATTCATTCAATATATACTTTCATTTATTATCTGTAGCATTAATTAGGTTTATAAAAATGTCACCAAAACGTACCAAACTTACAAATAAAGTGTCCTCATAAGCTCCGATACCGAAATTCAACACTGGCTGGGTGTGTCACAGCCACCAACAATAATAAAATTTGAGTAACACGCCCCTCGCATCGGGCATGTATTCTCTAAATCCCAGTGGTACCGCACCTGGAAATAATTCTTGACCCGTTGGGAAATCGGCAATGCACCCAATCTAACGGTCTAGCACCGACTCTCTCCAAAACTCCCTATCATCTCGTTCACTGTATCTCAGAGAAAATTGGTATGAGATTGCATACGTATATATTCTTAACCTGAAGTGACGAACGGATGATGGTGAGGATCACCAGACGAATTCGCAAAACCGTGATTTTTCGTTACAAGACAATATAATAACATTTACTAAAATAATTTACGACATAATACTATATATAAATATAAGTGTAATTATAATATATACAGAGCGAAATAATTATTGGGACATTTCGCGTCAAGCGCATCACCATCACGGCCAGAATTTGCTTTGACCGATTGAGACGTATTAGGTCTCAAAATGTTCGTCTCGGAACAGACTTTCGAAAGCCGTGTGGCACTTATCAAAATAGCAAAATGGCAGACCTAATATGGCTGTTAAAAGCTGGAGAAAATAGCTAAGAGATGTCTCTTGAAAGTTGATGTGGTTGTATGAAAAATTCCAAAATGATGGAACCAAGATGGCAAACCATCTTGAAAATTTGAAAAATTCAACCTATTCACACCGAAATCGGTATGTACGAGGTGTGTTCAAAAAATAACGAGAATTTTCGTTTTATGAAAAAAATATTTATTTATTCATCTACATTAATGTTGTGGCCTTCAAAGTAGTCCCCTTCGGATACAATACACTTATGCCAACGCTTTTTCCAATCCTCGAAACACTTTTGAAACTCGATCTTTGTAATAGCTTTTAGCTCTTTCAGCGATTCGCTTTTAATGTCATCTATGCTTGTAAAACGACGGCCTTTTAATGTTCTCTTTATTTTTGGAAATAGAAAAAAGTCACATGGAGCCATATCTGGCGAATATGGAAGCTGAGGCATCGTTCCAGTTTCGTTTTTGGCCAAAAATTCACGAACAAGCAATGAAGTGTGAGCAGGCGCATTATCGTGGTGCAAAAGCCATGAATTGTTTTGCCACAAATCCGGGCGTTTTTTTCGGATTGCTTCACGCAAACGACGTTGAACTTGTAGGTAGTACTGCTTATTGATTGTTTGACCTTGTGGCAAGAATTCATAATGCACTATGCCATTAAAATCGAAGAACACAGTGAGCATAACCTTCACATTCGACTGCACTTGTCGAGCCTTTTATCGGTCTTGGCGATCCAGAATGCCTCCACTGGGACGATTGAGCCTTAGTTTCGACATTATATCCGTAAACCCATGTTTCGTCACCTGTTATAACACGTTTTAGTAGTTCTGCATCGTTATTGACTTCATTTAGCGACTCCTGAGCAACTTCCATTCGCCGCTGTTTTTGTTCGAAATTCAACAATTTTGGAACGAATTTTGCTGCCACACGTTTCATACCCAAAACATTCGAAAAAATTTGATGGCATGAGCCAACTGATATGCCAACATCATCAGCGACTTCTCTGATTGTGATTCGGCGATCGTTCATAACCATTTCTTTCACTTTTTTCACGTTTTCATCGGTTGTTGATGTACTTGGGCGTCCGGGTCGTTCGTCATCTTCAACGTTTTCGTGGCCATCTTGGAAACGCTTATACCACTCATAAATCCTTACTTTACTCATAGCAGACTCACTATATGCCTTTGATAACATTTGACAAACTTTACTACACTTTATTACATTTTTTACGCAAAATTTAATACAAATTCTTTGATCCATTTTTTTTCACAAACGAAAATCGCCGAGCTCGAAAAACACGTCTAACGTTAGCGGCTTCCACTTAAAAAGTAAGCAATGAATATTGCTGAAAATTTTATCGTACTTCAGGGGCATGTGTACCAACATAATAAAAAAAAAATTTATACAAGCGGACTCTCCAAACCCGCGAAATTTCAAAATTCTCGTTACTTTTTGAACACACCTCGTATAGGGGTTTTCGGAGTCGCTGATTACGAATCTGAAGTCAGATTTGCAAAATTTTAATGGTGGATCCAAGATGGCGAACCAAATTCGAAAAATTTATCTAATTTATATCAAAATCGGTATGTAAGGATTTTTAGAAGCTCCAATAAAGAATATGATGTCAGTGATACACAACTGAAAATGTCCTATTCAATATGGGAGTTAATTCTGAAAAGAGATGATAAATGCTTTATGGCAGACGGCAATGTCTTCTAAAAAGTATTCATATTTCATTTTCTTCCATTTGGGTATAAAAAATGAATTAAATATAAAAAAGTTGTAGGGGGCATTACCGTCTAGGTTATTTTTGTTCAATGATACATAATTAACTTGTATTGAAATATGGCCAATACAATGAACGAATAAATAATCATATTAAAAAAAATCAGTTTGTGATATTGGTATCACTTATAAATAAGAATTCGAACTCTCGTATCTAGCAAATAAG